GCACCTACTCGCCCGACGGCCGTGTCTTCCAGGTGATGGAGTGACATCATCGAGGAGAAACGACCCGACGCCCGGGGTTAAACATGCATAGGCTGGTGTGCTTGTGTGTTGGTGTGTGTTGGCGCAGGTTGAGTATGCGGCCAAGGCGGTTGACAACAGCGGCACGGCCATCGGGCTGTGCTGCAAGGACGGTGTGGTGCTGGGTGTGGAGAAGCTGCTGGCCTCCAAGATGCTGGTGCCGGGCACCAACAAGCGCATCTACGCCATCGACAAGCACATCGGCATGGCAGTGGCGGGGCTGGTGGCGTTGGCGCAGGTTGAGTATGCGGCCAAGGCGGTTGACAACAGCGGCACGGCCATCGGGCTGTGCTGCAAGGACGGTGTGGTGCTGGGTGTGGAGAAGCTTCTGGCCTCCAAGATGCTGGTGCCGGGCACCAACAAGCGCATCTACGCCATCGACAAGCACATCGGCATGGCAGTGGCGGGGCTGGTGGCCGACGCCAGGCAGCTCGTCAAGCTGGCAAGGGAGCAGGCCGAGGAGTGGAAGCAGCGCTGGGGCGAGCCCATCTCCGGCATGTGCCTCTCGGAGCGAATCGCCGCCTATGTGCACGCCTATACGCTGAACTGGGTCTACCGCCCCCACGGCGCGTCCATCCTCATTGGCTCACTGAACCCAGAAGACGGCAGCGCCCCCTGCCTCTACTGTGTGGAGCCGTCGGGGTCGTGCAGCAAGTACTTCGGGTACGCCCTGGGCAAGGGCAAGCAGGCAGCCAAGACGGAGATCGAGAAGATCAAGCCGAGCGAGCTGACCTGCCAGGAGGCCCTCTTCCACGCCGCCAAGATTCTCCACCAGGTACACGACGAGAACAAGGACAAGGAGTACGAGCTCGAGGTCACATGGATCTGCCCACAGTCGGACTTCATTCACCAGCAGGTGCGTCTTGGATGGATGGATGGATGGATGGGCACTGTGTGTGTGTGTGTGTGTGGATTGGCTCTCTCCTTCTCCTTGTCCCTCTCTGCCTCTCTGTGTGTGTTGTAGGTGCCTCCCGAGCTGCTGCAGGAGGCCGAGGAGCGCGCCAAGAAGGCACTCGAAGAGGCAGAGGAAGACTGATAGAAGAACAGTATGTCTGATTGATGGGTGCGAACGGATGGATGGATGGATGTTGCTTTGCGTCAAGACCGAGATAGATGAGACTATGGAGACCTGGCCGACCTGTGAATGAAGGTTTTGTGAGTCAGTGTGTCAGTGTGAGTGCTCGCGAGACTCATCGTGCAATGCATGCTTCTTGGCGTCGCTTTGTATCAAAGTGATGCGTCCATACTATGCTAATCGAAAGGCAAAAGGTAAAAAGTCAAAATTCTATGGTAATCTCCTGCCCGCCAAGCACAGCGAAGGCGCTACGCTACCTACAGCGATAGTTGGAGCTTCTCTTCTGGTACGCCCTTGTTGGGCACAATACCTAGCTTTATCAAAGAGTACCCCTGGTCGATGGCCGCCTGCTTGAAGTCCCGTGGCTGGATGTTCAGAATCTCTCTCGCACCACTGCTGTCCATCGAGAACCTCCTCCCCAGCTGGCAGTCAGCACAATGTCATCACACCACACAACAGTCATGAGCCATTCACGACGCACGAACATCCGTACCTCTGGCAATACTTGAGCGACGCCTTTATCGCAGAAGCTCAGCAGCCATGCGAGGAAAGTCGGGAGCCTCGTTGTTGGCACACGGTAGCCGTATTTGCCAAACTCGCCCTTGAGCGTCTGATCGCATCGGCAGACACACACACACCCCACGTGGGAAGGCTGAGGCTCGTGGATGTGCTCTCTGTGTCGGCTGACAGACATGCTGGCTGACTGACCGTGGCAATGTCGATGAGCTGGATGGCTTCTTCGCCGAGTGGGAATCGCTTGCCGACTACCTGTGGGCCGCCCTCCAGACAGGCCACGTGTGCCAACGCCACGTCACGAACATCTAACACAAGGGCGACAGAATGTGGCAAACATCAGGTCGACAGTCGACGCTCCCCCTCTGCCTACCTGCAATGGGGTAGGCTGACACACACAATATTTACAGGAACAGGAAGGCCACCGATGGGTGTGTGGGCAGGTAGGCGGGCGATCTCTGTGCATCCATCCTTCGTGTAGCTCACCCATCGCTGGGGTGCCAGGGAACGCGGCAGTCAAGTACCTCTGTATGACGTCGGAGCTCCGCCCCACCGTAGCGTTGACCATGGGCCCGATCACCCATCCAGGACACACCGTGACCCCTCCAGCCCCGTTGCCTTTGCCTCATCGCTCGCGGAAATCTCCCAAGCGCGCCTCTCTGCCAGTGTTTTGCTTTTGGGGTAGAAGCCTTGTCGCTCCGGTATGCTCCAGTCGTCGGCCGTGAAGGGGGGCGAACCGGCGCCGTACCGTGCTGCTGGGTGGCCGTCGAAGATGGCGTAGGCAGACGATGTGATAACCACACGACGCACCTTCTCCTTGATGGCCGCTCGGAGGACGTGCTCATTGCCTTTGATGGCCTGGTCGACGATGGTGTCGTCTTCTTCTCCCACTGGGGGCAGGGGTGACGCCACGTGGACGATGCCATCACAGCCACGTACGGCATCCGCCCACTTGTCTTCCTGGGTGATGAGAGAGAGCACGCGAGTCCGCATCTTTTGCTGTGCTTTCGAGTGTTCTCACCTCTGTGAGGTCGGCGCCGACCAGCTCCAGATGGTCACGCGCTCCCGGATGCAGGTCCTGTACCAACACATGAGAAGATACCCATTGGTCATTTTGTCGCATCGCGTCTTCATCAAGGAAGCCTAACCTCAGAAACTGCGTCTTCTTGGCGTCTGTTGGGTCACGAACCGTGCCTCGCACCTGAGAGCGCACATCGCAGTCTAGCGGCTGTCTGTCTGTCTGTATCGTCATCCGATTTATCTGTCTGTGCTGGCCGCGTGTTGGCAGTCACCTTGTAGCCTCTGTCGAGGAGCTGATACACGCAGTGAGCTGCGATGAATCCAGACGCGCCAGTGACAAGCACACGGGACTTCGAGCCGTCCGCCGCCATGCCTCGACTGAGAATCTGATGCCGACAGCGGGATATGAAATGAAGGTGATCAGGCGTGTGCCAGGGGGTCCGCCACGTGGTGTGCCCAAGTTGGGTGTGCCATAATGGAACGGCGGCAAAGTCACTCAGGCCCTCTTTGTGTGCCCCTCAAGGTCCTGAACAAATCAATTGTTGATTCAAAGAGGAGCCCTCCGTGTTGGTCGTTGGTCGATTGCGTACATGTAAAGATACTCATTTTCTGCACAAGGAGTGGGAGGGGGGATGGAGGATTGGTCAGAGCTGCTCAGATGGGATCGGCTCGTCTGTGTGTGCTCAATTGTGTGACGACGGGCAAACAATTGCAAGTAGCACAGACAGCTGACACACAGAGAGAGGGGGGGGGGGGGGGG